ATAACTTGAATTGAAGGCAATGCTTAACCAACTGAACCACCCAGGTGCCCTACCCAAGGCAGTTTTATTGTTCACCTCAGGAAAATTGCTTAGAGGGTTCCATATATGAGTGGCATCATCAAAATCTAAGTCACCTTGGTGAACTCTAAAGAGCAAATAGTGTCTTGGAGGGGACTGAAGAAAGGGAAGCTGTTGCCATGGTGATCAGTTTCCAAGTGTTTGCTCAAACTAAGACCCTGCTCAATAAATTACTCCACGGTTTGTCTTAATGGTTACATTATATCATCACAGAAGTCATTTGAGAAACTGGACATTGTTCCAAAGAGCTCGTCTAGTAAGCTTCATAGTCCAGCAAGTGAGTCAGACTCATTGGGTAGGGAAGAAAACTTAAAAGACAGGGCTGGTCCTAGAGATGTGCTGCTTTTAAAAATTGTCTAGTCAGGGGTCCCTGGGTGGCCCAGTGTGTTAAGCCTCTGCTTTCAGCTCAGGTTGTGGTCCCAGTGTCCTGGGATCGAGCCCTGCATCGGGCTCTCTGCTCAGCAGGGAGCCTGCTTCCCTCTCTCTCTCTCTCTCTCTGCCTCTCTGCCTACTTGACATCTCTGTCTGTCAGATAAATAAACAAAATCTTTAAAAAAAATTATCCAGTCAGAAAGTTATCATAGCATGAAAGAATATAACTTTATAAAAATGTTAAATTACTATGGATTTAAAAATATGAAGTACATGAATTCATTACAATTATGATAAATTATAATTTAAAAATTAAGTCTTTAAAACCCTTGTTTGAGAGGCGCCTGGGTGGCTCAGTTGGTTAAGCCGTTGCCTTCGGCTCAGGTCATGATCTCAGGGTCCTGGGATCGAGTCCTGCATCGGGCTCTCTGCTCGGCGGGGAGCCTGCTTCCCTTTCTCTCTCTCTGCCTGCCTCTCTGTCTACTTGTGATCTCTGTCTGTCAAATAAAAAAATAAAATCTAAAAAAACAAAAAAACAAAAAAACCCTTGTTTGAAGCAGTACAGACAGAGACAGTATAGGTATCTGTAAAGAAAAAGTTGAAGTCTCAACCCCGTACCCTACTTAACATAAACCATTATCAGTGTGTGTTTCGCCAGATGTTTTCTTGCAGTGACAGGGACAGATATATACATATATAATCTATTTATCTCCTTTACAAAAATTCATAATACATGTTCTACAATTTGCTTTTTTTCACTCAATATATGACAAAAACCTTTTCATGAGAACCTCACATTTTATTTAACTATGATTCAGTTGATACGTTATTTCCAATTTTTCACCCTTCCAAATACTACCATTTTCATTTATCCTATATTTCTAATTCATGAGATGATTAGAAATATAATTTGAAGTCTTCTTAGACATCAGTACAAATCCTTTTAACATAGAATAAAATTCACGACAAATCATTTCCAGTTTGGACATTATTGGAGAGGGATTAATCACAAAAGAAGATTATTATTAAGTGGTTTCTTCTAAAAACTGTTTCACTGATGTATTCTAAGGATACTGTAGATCCATTTCCATGTACTTGATAAACTAGGTTAACCTCAAAAGGAGAGAGGGGCAGAAGGTGTAAGTAAGGTTAGTATCTTGAATAAAAATAATACCTTACTTTCAAATGAGTCTTTAGGGGGGAAAAAAGCAATTAAAAATACTTTCTATCTACACTGGGTCATGAGCCACACATGTCTCATTAACTTTTTGAAGAGTTGTCAGTTGATATTCAAAGTAAGGAGATCCTTGTGACTCACTTCTATTTCAACGGTGGCTTCAGAACTATTTTGGGATGTGAAAAACCTTGACCTATGCTGGTTCTTTCTTGATGAAGGGAATCATCATCATCGCTATTATGTTATGGTGTGCGTTCTTAAAAGTAAATTGAGCCACCTCTGGGCCACTGGACCAGAGTGGGTTGGCCCCCAACAGTGAACAGACTAAACTATAGCTTTAGTCCAAGAATATGGAAACTGACAACAAATTATTGCTTGTGGTCTACTTCCAGTTTTCAAGTGCAAACATACCAAAGTTTATTTTAAACTTGAACCAGTCAGACATTTAGTAATATACATCAAAGAAGAAGTGAAGGCCTCCCATGTTTATTATTTCAATATGATGTCTGTTCTAATAAAGTAGAAGAATGCGTATGATAGACCATGTAGTAGAAATTCTCTGGTTCTACAGTTAGGCCTTAAATATATACATATATTTGTAAATTAATCCAAAACACATTGCCATGGTTCCAGTTCCTCTGAAAGCTGATTGTTTTCCATCCCCTTTTTAATTTTAGAAATATAGTGGCTGACTGCCAGAACACTTTCCGATAAACAGTCCACTCCATGTATAAAAGGGGCATAGAATCACGAATGTTCAAAAACCACAGAATGTTATTTAAATAAGTTAAAGTTATTATGGTCTTCCCTATTAATTAAAAAAAAAAGCCATCTGTGCAAGGTGAATTTTGGTAAGGTCCCAATTTTTATAATGATTGTGGATGGAATTTGCAACTGCTCTCATTGTGAAACGAAAGTACGGCTCAGGGATTCCCAAGATAAAATGTACT